GTTTGGGAACTTAAAGTCAGTCTCTCTTTTCTGATCAGTAACTTGTTGAGGTTTCAGACTTCTTCCAGTCCCATATACACTGGTCCACATTCACTGCGTTATGGGTATGAAATTACCACACAATAATACCAAGTGGACATGGTTCCATAACAGAAGATCAAGGGGGTCGATCCAATAGATTGAAAGTTCAATGGTTCTAACACAACATAAAGTGTGAGAATTTTGTTCTTATTTGTAAAATGATTACATTAGTATAACAGAGTTTGACTTCCCTATATTTGCAGTTCAGAAACTGAATTAGCCTCCACTAATAGGTGGTATAATGGCCAATTCATCTCCATCTTTGACCGTGGTGGACTCAGGTGTGTATTCCTCATTCCGGGCCAGAAGCATGCACCCACGAATCTCTTCCAAGCGGGGGAAGTGAGAAATGACCTTCTTCAAGCAATCACCGGCAGTACTACCATAAGAAACTTCCAATGGCATTTCAGTCATGCCGGTCAGATCTCTAGCACGGGCGAAAAACAGAAACTTTATCTGAAGAGATCTACTCTCATCTCCATTCTGCAAAGTTTCCACATCTTTACTGTCAATTTGTTTATCAATCATGTCCATTGCAAATAACCTGTCCAACATATTCAACAGCAGGGGTAACATCTATCAGTTATGCTCCACTTCCAAAGTCGTGATCTTTGAGAAATCAAAATTGACAACAGAAATAACATATAGCTTTTCTCAGGACAGGAGCAACGGAACTAGAAATTAAGCTTCTTTTATGAATAATAAAAACTACTAAGCCATCTAGAAGATGGGAATAGAAGAATTCTCAGTTATAAATAAATACATAAATAAATAAACAGAATAGCCATCTTCTTGTGATCGTTTACATGAAGCTACCCTTACCCCCAGAAGTCAATATTATTTACTCTTAGAATGCTACCCTAGTTTGACATGATCTCCTTGACACAATGGTGTTCCTATTATACACCTTGCGTTTTAGCAAAGAACTAAATATATAAGTTTAAATAAAATCTTTATGACATGATATCCCTGAGAATTTTAAAACATGAGACAAGAGAAACAAAGGGAACTCAAATATACAAGTGTGTTCGATAATATGCACCCAATGTTGTGGCGTAGCGGTCGATGAAGTAGGTGAAAACAATGAGATACCAGGGCTAAAATCCTTATAGAGACAAAAAACACTAAGTGATTTCTTTTTTATAAGGAAAGTTAAAGTGATTTCTTCGTATCTTCCTAAACCTTGATGGGTTGATACTTGTACTAGTGGTAGGTAGCAAGTACATGGTCGAATCGTCGAGGCGCGCACAAATTGGCCCAGACAACACCAAAAAAAAACTAGAGCGCACATATAAAATTCCTTTTGACAATATGCATCAGTGACATTCAAGTAAATGGCAATTTCAATTTCCAAGTTCAGCAAATATAGGATTAGATGGAAACCACCAACTCAAAATTTTCTAGAGCAGAAGATGAGAAAAATCATTTGCATTGAGATACTAAAAGCAATTTTTACAGCAGATCCAGCAATCTTCAGAGTTTAATCACACAACACCTTTTAGACAATTGCACGGTTGGTTGTCAAACTTTGTGTAGCTATTAATAATGATTCATGCGCAAGAAGAAGACAGTTATAGGTTCAGATTGGATACGGATGTCAAAGAACTGAAGGCACAGAAATATGTCTTGCAAGATGAACAAAACATGAAACCATGATTCACATCGAAATTTATAGAGAAGGTTTTTTCCTGAGGAAAATAGGGAAGTCTAGGCTGTTCTTTCCATGACATCCTACTATAAGCTCTATTCACCAATAGAGTTGATCAATACATTAAGAATAGTCAACATTAAAACAAAGCAACAAAAGACCGAAACAATGATATGCAGTGAGATGGAAAATAAAATAAGTAGAAGGATCAAAAGAGAAGTGCATTAGGTTATTGCTTCTCCAAACCTGAAGTTTTAGAGTAAATGAAATATAATTATATGACACCCTTCCCCCATCCCCTTCTCCTCATGCTCACTTCGTTTATATTGCTGTGGTAGATTTTGTTTCATAATGTAATAAAAGACTACCCAGGTCCTGGAAGAGTATGAATTGGTTCTTGTTGTGCAAAAGCAAAACACATGAAAAGCTCCCGCTATGCGCGGTGTCCGGTTAAGGGCTGGACTACATTGGGTCTCATGTAGGCGGCCACCAGAAGAAAAAAAGACAGCAAAGACAAATAAGTACAAGTTGCAGAGCATACTAAGCTTTTTCTATGGTTTCAACATGTAACAGCAAGGGTCAACACACAGGAATAAATACAGAAGGTGGTTATAATTTAGAAGAAACAAGAGAGAGTTTTGTTTGTAACAGATATAAGATGTATTGAGAAATGGAACCCAAGTAGAAAGTGATACTGATGCTGTATTCCAGAAAAAGATGAGCCCAAAACCATTTCTTGCAATTTGCTTTTGCACTTTATATTTGGAAACTAGATAAAGCCCTAAGCTAAAACATTTGAGAAACAAACAGATAATAATACAGAATTTAAAGTAAAAAAGAATCAAAGTTTAAAGTTCAGAAACATCTACACTGATATCAAAATAGCTTTCTCAACAACGTAGGACTAATTCATTATCAAATTGAAACTCAAATTTTGTTGAAAACTGAAGAATCAAATATGTGTGAGCTCAAATTGGATAAGCAAAGATCTTAACTTTACCTTCTCTAAAGATGGGTGACAACCCTCTCTGTGCCGCTGGCTGGAATTGGATAGAAGAGGATGCCAAAATGGTTTATAAATTCAAGCAATCTGTTCTTATCATTAAAAAAAGATGATTGATTTGTATATATAACAAACAAATGATTGCCCGACTTTGGGGTTTTCTGTTTTTAAAATAGTTTATTTGACTGGAGGGGAAAACCCGAAAACACTAATTTTATCCTTTAGTTTGATTTGGTTTGACATTAAATTTAAAAAAAATGATTTTAAACAAAAGAAATTAAATTATCCAATCAAGTCTATAAAATATTCATATATACTAGACTACTAGTCACTTGGTAAGCAATGTATCTCGTATTCATGAGAATTTTTTTTTTATATAAAAAATGATATAAATAAATATGTCCCAATTATAAAATAGCAATTTAAAAAAACTGCAAGTTTCTGAAAATAATAAATATTGATGTCCGTTTGCTCGAGTATTTATTTCAAGTTTTGCCAACTCAATATAATAAGGTGCAAGAGTTTACTGAGTTATTTTTTCCTATGTTCTACTTACAAGAGCTTCTTGCTTTAGTAAGCTTCTATGTTATAGTATTCATGCTTAGAAATTTTCAATAAAAAAGAACCCATTAGATAATCAGTTGGTTAGCATATTTCTATTTATTATCTATTCAAATAAAGCCTTCCCAGTTTTAAAAATGAAGCACCAAAGAAGAAGAACCCGCTAATATTAGGCCTATCACCTGCAACTCTATTACTATTGAGTTTACCTTTTTCTGAAAAAAGAAAGAAGCTATTACAACACCAGACTGAATTTAGGATCCGAAAGATTTTAATTTCACGGTTGGATTGCACCTGAAAATTGAATTTATGTTACGCATTTTGATTAATCGTCTTCTCTTTAAATATCCCGGGAATCTAGTTTTAGGTTGTTCCTCTAGTGGAAAATACAAGTTGTGGCCTTACTTAAAGGTTGAAATAGGAGCGGCAAACGGACGGGTCGGGTCGGATATAGTTCGGGTCGAAACGGGTAATGATTTTACCTCTTATAGCAAAAGTATACACTCTATTTATTATAAATCAAAATTATTTTAAAATATTATTTTCTATAGCTACCTTTTATATTTTATAGCAAAATAAGTATCTATGGTATATACTACTATTGAGGCATGAAATACGCTATTTATATTTTTTCTCTCTTAAATAGCTGGACATACCTATTTTTAAGGTGGTTGTCGTTAATGTATTCATGAATACATGGCGCGAATACATGTGAATACATACGCATACACCTGGACTGCCTGATTTTAGGCGCTTTTTACTGTTGTATTCATGAATACAGCAGCGCGAATACATGTGAATACATGCGCGTACAGCTGGACTGCCCTGATTTTAGGCGCTTTTTGCTGCTGTATTCATGAATACATGGCGTGAATACATGCGCGTACAGCTGGACTGTCCTGATTTTAGGCTTTTTTACTATTGTATTCATGAATACAGCAGCGCGAATATATGTGATACGTGTGAATACATGCGTGTACAGCTGGACTGCCCTGATTTTAGGCGCTTTTTGCTGCTGTATTCATGAATACATGGCGCGAATACATGTGAATACATGCGCGTACAGCTGGACTACCTTGATTTTTAGGCGCTTTCTGCTATTGTATTCATGAATACAGCAGCGCAAATACACTACCGTAACAACTGAATAGTAACTATAGGAAGTAATTATGTATATGGTAGCTATAGGAAGTTAATAGCCACTAAACAATAGTGGTTTCTGAAAATTCCTCATGAAAAAATGGATATATTATCCGACCCGACCCATATTTAATACGAATAAAAAACGGGTTAACCGACGAATAATATGGGTAACCATATTATCCATGACTTCTTGAATATGGATCACTTTTGGGAGAATTCCTAATCTCCCAAACTTGAGAAACCCCCAATTTGAGGTTTTACAAATGTAAAAGTTAAACCCATTGATAATATGGTTCTTATCCATATTTGACCCGTTTTTAAAAAGTTCATTATCCAACCCATTTTTTAGTGGATAATATGGGTGCTTAACTGTTTTTTTTTAACCATTTTGACACTAGGTTGAAATAACATTTGTTGACTCATTTCTATGGGACGCTTGCTCTGTTGCCACTCCCTCTAGCTTTTCTGTATGTAATTCTTGGTTTATAGAGCTAAAATAGTGTATAAAGGAAAGGTAGATAAGAATGGACTAAAGAAACACTTGAATAATAAATTGCACAATGGTTAACCAAGTCTCTGAATAGTTATCATTACTATGTTCATAAATTTCATCTGATAACACAAGAAACTCGATGAGGCTAAACTAAACTTCCAATCCTGTCTCACTAACGTTGAGAAATTTGACTCTATTCAAAGTTAGAGTATTTAAATAGAAAAGGTGTGACACAAATTTTTGATACGGAAAAAGGAGTGATACAGATTTTACAAAGCCAAGGAAAATGCCAATGAAGCAAGCAGTACCCCTGATGTCAGCTAAATAGCCCTCTAGCCAAGCAGTTCATATAAACAATTACACCTACATGGTGTACTCCCCAAAAACCAGATCGAGATGAGCAAGTTAATGAACTTGGTAAGCAGGATGTCTTCTTCGAGCCTGTTGCACTGAGAGAGGAGGTCGTCTGTTGTGTGCCTGGACATGCAGGAGAAAGAGTTCAGAGGTCTCAAAAGTTAAAAGTTCGGGATGATACAGGAGGGCAGTTCAGGACACATTCAATTACCAAAATTACACAAAAATATACATATAAATCAGTTAAGATTTCTGCTACATATGAATCTGAAACTGTATGGGGCGGAGTGTTGGCCAGTCAAGAACTCCCATGTACAGAAGATGAAGGTGGATGAAATGAGGATGTTGACATGGATAAGCAGGCATACCAGGTTGGATAGAATTAAAAACGAAGTTATCCGGGACAAGGTTGGTGTGGCCCCTGTGAAGGATAAGATGCGGGAGGCAAGACTTAGATGGTTCGGACATGTAAAGAGGAGAGGCTCTGATGCTCCGGTGAGGAGGTGTGAGAGGCTGGCATTGGAGGACCAACGGAAAGGTAGAAGTATTGGGATGAGGTGATTAGGCAAGATATGGCGTTACTCCAGCTGACTAAGGTTATGACGATAGGAAGGTGTGGAGGTTGAGAATAAAGGTAGAGGGTTAGGTAGCCGAGTGTTGTCCTTGTTTGTCACAGTAGCTTTGTTACATCTCTTAGTGTCCTTCGGGTACTTTTTTTATCCCTAGATTGCTGATATTACTTATTGCTGCCGTGTTTCGATTTTCTGTTTGCATTACTTAGTGTTAGTTTTCTATTTTCGCTTTGGTTGTCATATTGGTTTGCTTGTTATTGCCCCGTCCCTTTTTCCTCCCTGAGCCGAGGGTCTTCCGAAAACAGCCTCTCTGCCTTTTTAAAGGCAGGGGTAAGGTCTGCGTACACTCTACCCTCCCCAGACCCCACTTGTGGGACTACACTGGGTTTGTTGTTGTTGTTGTTGTTGTTATGAATCTGAAACTATTAGTGCTGTCTGGCAACAAGTTGAAGGCCCATAATTCGTCGGACATCTCGCATATATTCCTTGGCCTAAACATTTGGCATGCCACCAAGTAACATAGGATTAGATTGGCATATCCTAGACTCCAGGCTTGCAGGAACAAATTTTTGAAAGGGAAAAGAAAGATAGCAAAAAATGGTATATGCTAATTGACATGATTGCACAAGCATCTCTGAAGAAATGAAGTCCATACCCCAATTTTTGTCATGTGACGACAAGAGGAACATCTAACAGATGGCGCCCCATAAGGGTACATGAGCAGCACTGCACAACCCCCACATTTAACTTGTCCAACCTCATGAGCTGCAGCAGTAACAATCAGAACCATATGAGTAAGTTGACAAGTTCCATCAAAATGAGTCGAACAGTTCTAATTTCAACCATTGAATTATTCAACAGTTGTACAGATCAATGAGAACAAGAAACTGATGAACTTGTCTATGTCCTGTTTTCCCTTTATTCAATTATGAGAGGTTTGGTATGCCATTTGAAAGTAGATACAAAAGATTTACATTAACAAAGGGAAAAATCAGAAGTAAGTGCACCACAAGGTTGTATAAAGTGCTGATTTCTGATTAAAAAGCATGGAGAAAACTAACTGCTCATACTCTCAATTTTGAAACAGCTTTGTATGTGATCTTTTCAACAATGTTGGCACATGTCATGATTCAACAGAACTTATATAGGGGGCAACCTACCAATGATAACTTGAAACAACTATCAACAACTTCACTAGAATACATCTGATTTCATGACCAAAAGGGTAAAATGAAATCAAGGACTGTTGGATCAAAGTGTAAAGGAGGAAGCAAAAACCTTCCAGGACAAAATTGACGGTCTGGCAGCACGAACACTTCACTAATTTAGCCCCTTGTGGATAAGTAAGTAACTGTCGGCAAGAACCACAAACCATCTGACCCATTTCTGCACCAAACCGTACCTCCAAAATGTGAATATATTACTGATTATTTTACACTGGACACTTCTGAAACAAGAATCTAGTAATAGTAACAATGGACGTTGCTTCTCAATTAACAATAAGAAGAAAGATAATGTATGATCGCGAAGACAGCTACATTATAATCATCGAACTCATATACAAAACTGACTAAAGTTGAGGAACTGAAAGCCTGTTACTCTCCGTGAAAAGGACTCACCGGCAGAAAATGTTGTTGCATGTGATGAGGATTGAGGCGCTGTAGGTTTAATCCGTGGTAAATGTGATGTAGGTTGCTTTTCAATTGGGGGCCTTACCTCCTCATTCTTTGTGCCTTCTTGTTTGCTACCCATCTCCATTTCTGATAGTTGAACAGTTTAGTCATTATCTGCCCCAAAATGCCCACGGAAAAGGTAAAAGAAATACCAAGTGAACTAGTAGATCAAGACCCACATGCTGCAATATAATAAAGTCAATCTTATCTTTAAACACTTCGAAAATTATATACAAGCCATTCAAGAAATGTGAAAGGAGTTGAAATAACTGAAGGCAGATTGGACACAATTCTTTGGCATGACACAGAGGCTCACTGCTCTACTGTAACCCGTTATATATAGTTATATGCTATTTTAAGGAATTGCAGCAGAGTTTACCAGAAGAAGCAACTGATGATGATGACTGAGGTGGTGGTGTAGGTGGTGATGAATGTCCAGTCATAGGAATGGATTCTGATCCCAGTGGATGCCCTTCTTTTTCAACTGCAGAGTGCTGTTTACTCCCCATCTCAACGTCTGCAAAAGCTAATGTTAGCTAGTTTTTAAAACTTAAAAGGATATTGAATAAATAGAATTTATCCACTGCCAAATAAGCACCAAACCCAGGTATACGGCTCTTATATTGATTTGTCATATCAGCAGCTGCTAGCCACTTAGCTATCTACATGCCCAACTTTTATATATATTATACAGCATTAGGTGATTGAGTCAAAATGCTAACTCAAAGATTAAAGTTATCAAAAAGGCAGAAATGGTCGAAGATTAGCTCTCCAAGGAACCAAATGTGTAGTGCTAACCTGGAGTTTGAGTAGACAAGCTTTTTAAGGTATGAACCCTAGCACACTTATCTTAAAAAATTGTAATTAATGAGAACCTCTCATGTTTTATGCTTACAAATTTGGCTTTACCAAGAAATAATACCTTAAATGTCAAACCTCCAACGGCTAGGATTTTTGCCACATATTAACCCCTAATTTGTCTTAATAGACAATAATTGAGTATTGGAATGAAAACTAGGCCCAAATAGAACAGAATGAATATAGAGGACTCATATAGCTGACCCCACTAGTTGGGATTGAGGCGTAGTTTTGATTGTCCCTTGATTATTTTCCTATCTTGAATAAAATTCATCACTTTTACCATACTTTGGAACAATGCAGAGGATTACAAGAGGGGAAAGACACTCTCTAACGCAGAAACATAGTAGTGGAAGGTTTACAGTAGGATCAGCTTATAAAGATCTGAATTAGGTAGGATCTCAACTCAGCCTATGGCCCTGGAAGCATATCTGGAAAGTCAAAATACCATATAAAGTGGCATGCTTTACTTGGTTGGTGGCTAGAGAAGCATTACTCACTCAAGAAAACCTCATGTAAAGAGGGTTACCAATCTGTTCTAGATGTTATTTGTATGGACAAGATGCAGAGACAATTAGCCATATGTTTTCCACATTGTAGAGTGACAAGACAGCTGTGGGAGTTGTTCATCAACCTCAGGGGTATCGGATGGACAATGCCAGGAAGAACCTATGAACTTTTGTCTAGCTAGAACACGGGGGG